GGTATGCTGGGAAAGCTGTCCCATTAGTGGTATCTTATCTGTGGGGAGAGATTTAGGGGACTGGACATAGGCTGGGGCAGGCTGTGAGGCTGACGGGTGAGAGCGGCTTAGCAGCCCTGAGCCGGGAACTTGTCCCCAGGGACCTTAGTGGCCATCACAAGGGTCAGTGTTCCCGTTTCTGTGTCCCCCCCCCCCCCGAGAGACCGAGGCTTTTGCCCAAGTGTGGTTCCTTTAGGCTGCAAACTTGTGTCAATGACCTGGTGTGAATGTAGTCAGTGTTACAGGACAGGAAATACTCATGGCCAGTGACGCCCCATGTGAAATGGGGTGCAAGAGGGGAACATCATGGGAGGTGAGAAAGCTGGAGGGAAGGCTGAGAGAGGGAGTTCCATACTTGAGAAGAGCAAGGTGAGGTTTACGAGGACATGGTCATAAAGGGGTGGCTGATGGGCTGGGATGAGGGTGATGGTTCAGTTTTGCTCAGTCGTGAGGGCAGGGGAGGAAGCTTAGAACCACTGTTGCAGACCTTCCTGGGGGATTTGGACGTGAGAGATGTGAGTTTTGGAGTTTTGAAGCTAAGAAGAGAGATACAGATCTGTGTATTTGGTGAATGACTGTGAGGTGCAACAGAAGACGTTGGGAGATGAGGTTAACCATGCAGGGAAGCCACAGGGCAGGGCCAGAGGCCACCGAAGCTGGGGAAGAGAGATATAATGTGGGATTAGTGTCGAGAAATAGCAAGAACTGGCCTAGCTGAGAGACCATAGAAGGAAAAAGCCAGATGAATAGAATGGCCAGAAAAGGAAAGAAGGAAAGAGCCCTTTGGAATCAAAATGTCAAGAAATATTAGCAAAGCTTTTACAGTCAGAAATTGGGTTTCTTGCAGTTTTGAAACAGGGTCCTATTCTGTAGCACAGGCTAACCCAGAACCCATTGTGTAACTCAGGCTGGCCTTGAATTTAGAATAATCCTTCTACCTCAGCCTCTTGAGTGCTAAAACCATAGAAGTGAGCTACCATCCTGGCTAAATTAAGCTCAGTAGTGTTTCAGAAATTGAAAGAGACTGAGGACAGAAGTAAACATGAATCCAAAGGAATGTTGTTTAGAGAAAAAAGACATTAGAATTCTAGAGCAAAGGCAGAGCCTGCTGGAGGGGGAACCAATGATGCAAGCCTGGGCGCGATGACCAGACTGTGCAAACCCAGGAGTGTGACATGGGAAACCCAGGCAGAGCCGTGGGCAGGGGTAAATGGGCACAGAGCTCACCTGTTTGAGACTGTCTCAGGCAGTGCCCATGCCTGACCTTTCTCCTGATGGACACTATCAACACAAACGGTTTCTTGTTTTGAAGTTTGAAACTAGAGAACAACCCGGGAGTTGTGCCCACTCTCTTCCTTCTTCCAGCTTGTCCACTGTCCCGTCCCCAACAGTGTCCCTGTCAGCATAGCCCGCCCTTGTGCTGCCGGACTCCCCTGCTTACTTCCCTTCCCCACTTCCTTTGCCCTCAGTTAACCCCCAACCCCCACTCCTCCTTGGCTCCCCTGTTTCTGCCTCCTGGGCTCAGGTGTGTGTGTGGTGTCTGGTACTCAGACAGTTGGCTAACTCTGGGGTTTTCCTGCTCCCTCTCCAGGTCATCTTCCATGATGTCGCTGTGCTGACAGACAAGCTCTTCCCTGTTGTGGAGGCCATGCAGAAGCACTTCAGTGCTGGCTTGGGGACCTACTACAGTGACTCCATCTTCTTTCTCTCAGTCGCCATGCACCAGATCATGCCCAAAGGTAACTCGGGAGGTCAGACTCTGTATGCACTCTGAGCTCAGTATGACTGATGCCCTGTTTGTAAGGAAGCAGGGGCTCAGGGGCCTCCTTAGAGCCAGGTGCAGCTTTATCCACTTGCTAGATCTCCTAGTCCTGTGAATGACACATAAACCAAGACATTGCATCTGTCTACAGCTTATACAGTCATTCAAGTGGCAGAGCTAGAATTTGAAGTCATGTCTATCTGATTTGGAGTCCTGCCTCTCCAGATCGCTTTCTATCTCTTCAGGTGACCCACATGAGAGCTCTCTGGGGATGCCTGCTCCAGGTGTAGCATTCAAGATTGGGTGCTGGACGCTGCTCTGCCGCCAGCTGTGTGCATGGCTTTGGCTAAGGCACTCTGTGTTGCTAGGTTTGTTTCCCCACCTGTGAAAGGAGGGGACTGAACCAGTCGGTGAGCTGTATCAGTCTCCTGCAGATGCCCGGCCTGTAGGGATGCTCCACCTTTGGAATATTCCTGGAGAGTTAGGAGGCCTTCTGTCTCCATCCCAGCTCTCTTGGCTGTGCCCCTACTCCACATCGAGACACTGCCCACCACTGCCACCATCTGCCATGCATTATCCCTATCTGATCACAGGGTTCTGTGGCTAAACAAGTGTGCAACAAAGCAACTTGATGGGCCAGAAGTGCCTGGCAATCTGTGCCTGTGACTGGCCATGACACCAGAGGACATCAGATTGGGAGGAAGCATGCTGTCCTTGCTGAGTTCCCCTCCCTCCATCCACCATCAGGTCCCTGACCTTGATGTCAGTTTGTGTTTTAGGGTGCCCAGTGTCGTGCAAAATGGAGCTCCTTTGATTTGCAGGAAAGGGAAAGTACCTGTTACCCCAGCTCCTCAGCTATGTGGGAAGCTGGACAGTGAATCCCAAAGGGCCTGTGGATCTACTGGCTGCTGCTAGTATCGTCTCCCTTAACTTTGTAAATGAAGACAGACAGAAGGCTGCCCTGTCCCATAGCCCTCTATGGAGGGGACCATGTCTACTGAAGAAAGCTGTGGTGGGGGCTTTGCTAGAAACCTGGTGTGGGGCACAAGGAGTTTCTTCAGTGCCCATCATCTCTGACGTACATCGGTGCTGCCAGGAGCAGATGTGTCTCATTGTCATGAAAAACCCTATATTAACAAAACATTTTAAATGCCATATTCTGTAGGTCTTTGGAAGGTTTGAAAGCCATCTGTCTATCTAAAATATATCTCTGTATGATCTGGAAAGCCTACTGAACATGTCTACAGATTTGATTGTTATAGATGACAAACGACTGACCTGTGATCTTGATTATCCTAAATACTTCGTGATAATAACTTTCAAAAACTAGAATTTACCTTATATTTTTAAATGAACTGCCTAGGTAAAATATCTTAAACAAGAGCAGAAACATATATATTATATGTTGTAACAAAAATAACCTTAAATTGGTATCAGTATACAAAAGTCCTTTAAACAAGAGTAGAAACGTATATACAGAGTGTTGTAACAAAAATTGCCTAAATTTGTACCATTATACAAAAGTCCATACCAATACAAAATATTTGAGATCAATTGTTGCTTTTTAAAGTAGATTTAATAATCTATCCTTTTGTCATTTCTATATTTCCCTAAATAATAACAAACATTCATAGCCCAGCAAATAACCAAAGACCACTCATGCACCCCTGGCCCTGGAATTGTGGGCGCAGTCCTCTCCAAACTGCTTCCTGCTGGTTGTGGGCAAAGTGTCCCCAGGGGTCCCCAAGAAAAATTTGAGATAATGACCAAGTCCTAGGAAGACTATTTATAACCTTTGTTGATAGATATCACCTGTCAAGATTCAGGAGGTCTCCCCTGATCAAACCAGATCCATATCAACCTGAAGTGAGTCCATGGCCTCTTGTTTCCTGTAGAAACAAAAGCAAAACTGCTTCTCTAAAGCATTTTTTAATTTTCACCTGACAAATGCATTTTTGATGTTTTTAAAGTTAAGGCTCTCTTACAGTGCCCAGGCTGGTTTATCCCAGCAGCTCTTTCAGTTCCAGATCTCTTAGAGCTGCGCTTTGCTTTTCAGCAATCAAAAAACTCAAAATCAACACAATAACATACATGATTCAGACTCATTGTGTATTTCCCATCTTATGTGGCTTTTTACTTTTATATTACTTTTAATGTCTCTTTAAAGGCTTTATTTTTAAAAACTTTCTTTTTTAAAAATATTTATTTATTTATTATGTATACAACATTCCATGTATGCCCGCATGCCAGAGGAGGACACTAGATCTCATTATAGATGGTTGTGAGCCACCATGTGGTTGCTGGGAATTGAACTCAGGACCTCTGGAAGAGCAGCCAGTGCTCTTAACCACTGAGCTACTGAGCCATCTCTCCAGCCCAACTTTCTTTTACTGCGTATGTTTTAGTCTTTTTTTTTTTTTTTTTTTTTTTGTTTTCAAGACAGGGTTTCTCTGTAGCTTTGGAGCCTGTCCTGGAACTAGCTCTTATAGACCAGGCTGGCCTTGAACTCACAGCGATCTACCTGCCTCTGCCTCCCTAGTGCTGGGATTAAAGACGTGGGTCACCACCGCCCAACTCATTTTTTGCTCCTACTTAAAGTACTGGCTGCTCAAGGTCTTGGCAGCAGGCAGAAACTCCTAAAGTTCTGTATATCCCCCCCCCCCCGGGGCCCCGGGGGTAGGTGAGTGTCTGAGTCCTACATTGGGTGTCAAATGTTGGGTTTTTTTTATTCCTTTTGGGGGACCGACCACCTAGCTCCCCAAATAAATCACACACAGAGACTTACTCTTTTTTCTTTTCTCTTTCTTTCTTTCCTTCCTCCTTTTTTGTTTTGTTTTTGTTTTTTTTGAGACAGGGTTTCTCTGTAGCTTTGGAACTAGCTTTTGTAAACCAGGCTGGCCTCGAACTCACAGAGATCCACCTGCCTCTGCCTCTGAGTGCTGGGATTAAAGGATTGTGCCACCACCGCCTGCCTCAGAGGCTTATTTTTTGTTATGAATGCCCAGCCTTAGCTTGGCTTGTTTGTTGCCAGCTTTTCTTAAATTATCCCATCTGTCTTTGTGCTTGGGGCTTTTACCTTTCTCTATACCTGTATACTTTTTCTTTCCTTCCTATTGTCTGACTGTGTAGCTTGGTGGATGGGCGGCTGGCCCTGAAGTCCTCCTTCCTTTCTCATCACAATCCTTTCCTCCCAGAGTTCTCCTTCTATTTATACTCTTTGATGCCGGTCCTTCCTATTCCGGCTTGTGCCTTGCTCTCGGCACACATCTCTCTATTATACCGTCAGGTATTTCAGACAGGCACAGAAACACAGCTTCACACAGTTAAACAAATGCAACAGAGACACAAGTCACACACCTGAAAATAATATTCCCTAACTTCCTCATGTTGTGTATAATTACAGTCTTTGAAGATTTCCCCAAGTGGTTCTGTTAACTAGATGAGGCTTGGTTTACTTTAGTGTTTATTTTCCTGTCCTGGACTGGCTCAGTGCTTCCTATTGGCTTTTTAATTTTGTAAATTAGACTATGGCAGATGGCCACATCTAGAAAGATTATCTCTCTTCTTAGGACTGCTTCCACATGACATCTTCCCAAGGGTGGAATTACTACAGCAAAGGTGATCCTTACAAAGCCAGGTGTGTCAGTCCCCAGTGCCCCCAGTGTGGACCTGCATGAGTAGGGCCAGGGTGTCTAACCTTCTGTGGCGCTCAAGCTGCTGTGTAGACGCTCCAGTCAGCTGCTCTCCCACTAGACAGGAAAGGAACCTGCTGAGAGTTGGCAGAGCTGGTTCTCTCCTGCACTCTTACTTTTAGTGTCCAGACCTGAGTCCTGTCTCATCCACATGCATAGTCCCGTGCAGCTTCTAGGTCCCGACTTCCACCCTTCCCTTCTGCTATAACCCTGCGGAGTGGCCTGGCTGGGAGGGGGTGGGAAAGCAGCTCCATGTACTAACTGTTCCCTGGAAGCAGTGTTATGAAAACCACATCTGCAGAGTGGTGCTCCAGGAAGAGCAGAAGGTCAGGTCAGGTGTGGCGTGCTGACTTTGATTTTTCTCAGCCCTTGTTTTTCTTTTGCTTGCTCAAGGGGTCACATTTGGCTAGCTGGCCCGTCCTGCTGTTCACACTTGCTGTCCCTCACAGACCTGTGGCCCTCTTTGTTCCTCACTCATCCTCAGGGCTTTTCTCTCTCTGTCCGTAGTGTTAGTTTTGTCACCACTGAAAGCATCTCATGCAATAACAAATAAAGGCTGTGCCTAACTGGAGCTGCAGGGAGCAAAGAACAGCTCCTCTGGCTCGCTGGTGTCTCCATGCCATGTGACACAGCTCTGGGGAGCTGTCAGCTTGGCATAGTGACATGCCAGGGTTCTTGCAGGTTGAGCTCGGATGTGTGATTTGTGGAGTGGCAAGGTTCTCTTGGTCAAGGTAGACAGATACCAGTCAGCCTTCATTTAGTCAGAGGCCCCAGAAACCTTCCCTGGTCTAGCGTGTACCTTGGAAGGCACTTCTGGCCTGGGGTAGTCAGTAGCATTTGCCTTTGCCAAGGGTCTGCTGTTTGTAAGCCGAGGTCTAGCAACTCTGCTGTCTCAGGCCATCTTACTAGAGTGCTGCTTTGGCTCGGGTTGAGTGGAGCAAGTGGCATGTTCTTGCAGCCAGGGAGATGGCATGAAGATCTGCCAGTTCTGAGGGTTTCAGAAGAGAAAGAGTGAGGTATTCTGCAAGAAGGCTTCATGAAGGAGGTGGTACTTAAGATGAACCTTGTAGGATGTTAAGTTTTTACCTCATGGTAGTGATAGTAAGTGGTTTAGGTAGACATGACAGTTAGGAAGGCTGAGGTTGTTTAAATGTGTACACTGTCCATGCTGAAGAAAGCATCAGGCTACCTGCTGGACAATAGTGATGTTGGGCAGAAAACCTGGTGAGGGTGGTAGAGGATTGGCTGGCTGTGATGGGGCTTGGCCCTGGGTGTAGGAGACAGA